GAGAGCTTCCAGGTTGGAGAGCACGTGGAGATTTGGGAGACTGGCATGCCTGGAGGAGACATGGAAGTTCCATGCCTTGCACTATGAATCTCTTCTATCTGGCTGTTCCTGAGCTATATTCTTTTACAATAACTGGTAATCTAGTAAGTAAAATGTTTCTCTGAGTTCTGTGAGTTGCTCTAGCAAATTAATTGAACTCAAAGAGGGGGTTGTTAGAACATTCTGCCAGTCGGTCAGAAGCACAGGCAACATCCTGGACTTGTGATTGATGTCTGAAGCAGGGGGCAGTCATGTAGGACTGAACCCTTAACCTGTGAGATCTGAGGATCTCCAGATAGACTACAGACAGATAGTCAGAACTGAGTTTAACTGTAGGACACCCAGCTGGTATCAAAGAACTGCTTCGTGGTGTGGGAAACACGCCCCCCCCCCAACCAGAATTGGTATCAGAACCATTACTATATGCTACGGATAAAGAAAAGAATTGGAAAAAATGGAAATTCTAGAGATAGGTTAAAAATAGTGAAATAATTTAATATGTGTGTGTGACAAACCAGAAGTAAATACCACAAAGGAAAAATAAACAATAAGAATCTTGGGACAAATGGTTATCAGGATAGAGAAAAATTAATCTGGATCACTGTAAATTTGAAAGAGGTCAAATAATCAATTAGGGGTGAAAATATGAAAATTGAGTAGTACATTTATGCCCAGATGAGGGACAAATAATTTTCTATAAAAAAAAAATGAAAGTTGTCATAAGATTCAAGATGGATAAGCTTAAATATATACATATAAACACCTTCATCAATCAATTAGCTGCATCAAATTCAGCTAATTTTAGGATATAAGATCTACAAACAAAAATCAATCATCTTTCTATGCAGTGAACAATCTGAAAAGGAAATTAAGAAAGCAATTTGATTTACAATAGCATCAAAAAGAATAAAATGCTTAGGTATAAATTTAACCAAGGATGCATAAGACTTGTACACTGGAAACTACAAAACATTGCTGAACGAAATTAAAGACACCTTAAATAAGTGGAAAGGCATCCCATTTTCATGGATTGGAAGGCTTAATATTGTTCAGATGACAATACCCCTCCCAAAGCAATCTACAGAGTCAATGCAATTCTTACTAAAATTCCAACTGCCTTTTTAGTAGAAATAAACAAGCAGATCCTAAAATTCGCATGGAATTATAAGAGATCCCAAATAGTCAAAATAATCTTATAAAGAAGGATAAAGTTAGAGGACTCAAACTTTCTGATTTCAAAACTTACTACAAAGTTACAGTAACCAAAACAGTGTCAATGGAAGAGAAGTGAGGGTCCAAAATAAACCCGTACATCTGTGGTGAGTTGATTTTCAACAAGGATGACAAGACTGTTCAATGGGGAAAGAACAATCTCTTCAACAAATAGTCCTGGGACAACTGAATACCTACATACATAAGAATGAACTTGGATCCTTACCTCATACCATATACAAAAATTAACTTCAAATAGATCAAAAACCTGAATATAAGAGCTAAAACTATCAAGTTCTTAGAAGAAAACATAAGGGTAAATCATCATGACCTTTGATTTGGCAATGGTTTCTTAGATATGACACCAAAAGCATGAATAATAAGAGAAAAAATACATAAATTGGACTTAATCAAAATGAAAAACTTTGTGCATCAAAGGACACTATCAGGGGCTGGCCCCATGGCTGAGTGGTTAAGTTTGCGCACTCTGCTTCCGTGGCCTGGGGTTTCGCCGGATCAGATTCTGGGCACGGCCATGGCACCATTCATCAAGCCATGCTGAGGCGGCGTCCCACATGCCATAACTAGAAGGACTCACAACTAAAAATACACAACTACGTATCAGGTGGCTTTGGGGAGAACAAGGAAAAATAAAATCTTTTTTTAAAAAAAAAGGACACTATCAGAAAGTGAAAAGACAACCCATATAATGGGCAAAAATATTTGCAAATCATATACCTGATGAAGGTTTAGTATCCAAAATACACAGAGAATGCCTAAAACTCAACAACAAAAACCAACAATCCAATTTAAAAATAGGCAAAGGACTTATATCCACAGAAGATATACAAACAGCCAACAAGTACATGAAAAGATATTCAATGTCATTAGTCATGAGGGAATGCAAATGAAAATCACAATGAGATACCACTTCATACCCACTAGGATGCCAATAGTAAAAAAAAAAATTTTTTTAAATAAGCGTTGGCAAGGATGTGGAGAAATTAGAACTCTCATGCATTGTTGGTGGGACTGAAAAATGGTACAGCGGCTGTGGAAAATAGCTTGGCAGTTCCTTATAAAGTTAAACATAGAATTACCATATGACCTAGCAATTCCACATTTAATATACTTGAAAGAACTGAAAACAGGTCAACAAAAACTTGTAAATAAATGTTTACAGCAGCACTGTTCACTAACCAAAAAAAGTGAAAACAATCCAAATGCCCATTAACAGACGAATGGATAAACAAAATGAATTCATACCACTGAATATTATCCAGGCATAAAAAGGAATAAAGTATTGATACACGCTACAACATGGCTGAACCTTGAAAATATTCTACTAAGTTAAAGAAGCTAGACACAAAAGGCTACATATTATATGATTCTATTTATATTTAACTATCCAGAATAGGTGAATCTATAGAGTCAAAAACCAGCTTAGTCGTTGCCAGGGACTGCAGGTAGGAGAGAATGGGGAGTGACAGCTTAAGGGGTACAGGGTTTTCTTTTGAGGTGATGAAAATGTTCTGGAACTACATAGTCGTGATGATCACACAACATTGTGAATGTACACTAAATGCCACTGAATTGTACACTTTGGTTAATTTTATGTGTATTTTACCACAACCTAAAAATTATTTTCAATTTAAAGAAAACCATTTGCATGATAACATATAATAAAGTCTCATATGAGGAAAGGCAACAGGGGAGGAAAACTGTAGTAAAGGTTACTGAAGTAAAAGGTTAGTATCTGAATTATTTATAAAGATTGGATACAAAAACATAGGATCAATCTCCACAGTTACCAGGCTAACTGATGCACAGATCATATTGCAGTAAAATTCTTCACATAAAAATGGACAGGCCACTGGAAAGTAAATGCTTATTAAAACATCTTTAAGGAAACATTATATTCTGCAGGCCTTATAAGAGTTAAAAGGCAAATGTGGTCAGGCCATAGTGGAATAAACAAATTTAACCATCTCTAGTGACACTGTGAAACTGTTCTATAGACAATCTAACAATATGTAAGAGGAGCTATACAACCAGTCAAGTGCTTTGATCTAGTAATTTGAGTTGGGAACTGCACTTTTAAATAAACACTTAAAGTAGGAAAAGCAGTAAATAATTTGAAAAAAAGATATTCATAGTTATGGTAACTAACATGAGAAAGTAGAAAATAACTTAAATAATAAAAGAGTAGAGCTAAATGAACTATTATTGTTGCCTAAGCACAATGGAAAATATGCATATGTCTATATATGTGTGTATGTATATATAAATTTAAAATGACAACTATGTAACTACTTGATAGGTTAAAATGTATGTAAGAAATAATGTCAAAGTAAATCAAAAAATAGTGCTCACACTGATATCAACTCTATATATACATTGAAAATAATTTATTAGAGTAAGAGTTCAAAACTCAGTAGGTTCTTTTAAAAATAAGTGGTAGAGAGTAATAATTTTGCAGCAATTATTTTCCAATCACATTTTTTACCCAAAGATGGGTAAAAGAAATACAGGTAAGGTGAGAACAGAAAATTTTGTAGGATGTAAGAAAATCTTAAGTGCTCAAATTACGACATTTTGTTAGGTCCTTAGTATAAACCTCTCTTTGTTGATATAAAAATTTTCAGGCCGATCCTCCAACAAGATTTTGAGAAAATATTTTTTTCACTGTATTTAAACCATTAACCTCATTCTTGTAAATAAAAACGTTTTTCATATTACGCTTTAAAATATCAAAGAAAGTCAGTTAAATGTATGCAAACTATATACTTACATAGATGCAGAAATATGAATCTAACTGTCAAGAGCAACAAAAATATCTTGAATGGATTAATAAATGAAACACTGTGCAGTTCACACTGTGCAAGCAACCTGTGTACAAATAACTGCCTGAACACAGCTCTGAACAGGTGTTTCCATAGACACCATCATAAAAAGCAAAAAACGGCAAACTAAACTTTGAGACAATCTATCTGTTCAGAAGTTGAAGAAGGGAAGAAACCTTGAAAAGCAGGAGCAGTGAAAAGTATAGTTTAAGGGAGCTGACCTAAGAGACACTGTCCTGCCCCAAATTCTCTCTACCACCAGATTTTTTTCTTATACTTCCTGAGACTCCACCAGCTGGAGAGTTATATAGATTAACAGGTATTGTCCATATATCAAAATCAGTACCTCTGAAACAATCAAGCATCATACTTTTTACACAGTACTATGAATTTGCTCAATTTCCTTCACTTCTCTCCTAACACCTAAATGAAGCAAACTGCAACTGGAGGGAACGGAAAGGAAGTGGCATTGAGGCTTCCACTATGGCAGTCTCCCCGGTCTATATTTCTTTCAGAATCCCTTTTTCAAAACTATTTATCTTTTCTCCCTCCTAATCAAAATTATCATTCATTAGCCTAAAAAAATATATCTTTTCTCACTTCTTCAAAAAATTTTACAGTCATAAGAATAACATTTTTTAAAAAAACGAACTCACCTGAAATTCATTATTTAACATTGGAGAACATGAGAAGCTTTTTGAAGTCTTCTTTAAAATATCTCCACCCATTTAAAATTTTCATTTCTTTTAAATTTTTCCACCATATACCTTCCCTTTAAATGCATATAAATTCACTATATATTCATTCGTTAGAGATTATAATAATGAAGACCTTAATTCAGACTTGTAAACAAACATAATATTTAAAGAAAGCTTTTCAGCATAATATTCATCAATTGATTCTTACTTTGCTTCAACTTATGCAAATCACTGACTCTATCCTTGGTAGCCTGCTTTAGTACATCTGCTTGAATTCTGGGTTCACTCTCCAAGTTTGGGCCTGGAATTAAACGCTGAAGAGGATTTGAAGGGTTCTGTTTTGAAGTTCCAGGGTTTCCATTACGGTTTACATGAGAATCTATGGCATAAAAACATCAAATTAAGGTCATATTTTGCAGAAGAATTTCACAAGATCTGCTTTAGAAAAGCTAAGATATCCTGTTGTCTGATATTGGGTAGTTACGTAGTCTTTTTTTAAAGCTTTATTTTAATTTCTTTAATCAAATCTTATAAACAATGTGATTTTAGCTATGTGAAGTTTACTCATCATTCCCAGGTGAGTATCTCCAGTACTGATTATAAACCTAGTCATCAAAGGTATATATGGTAGGAACTCAAAAATTAAAATAACAATGAGAAAGCCAGCCCTGATGGCCTAGTGGTTTAAGTTCGGTGTACTCCACTTTGGCAGCCTGGGTTTGGTTCCCAGGCATGGAACCACACCACTCATCTGTCAGTAGCCATGCCATGGTGGCAGCTCACATAGAAGGACTTACAACTAGAATATACAACTATGTACTGGGGCTTTGAGGAGGAAAAAACAAAAAGGAAAACTGGCAACAGATGTTAGCTCAGGTCAAAACTTTCCCAGCAAAAAAAAAAAAAGGCAATGATACCTGTATCTTTTCCTCCCTCCAAACTCCATATTGCCGTCAGAAATCTCCAAAATCTAGTAATGCTTTTAGAATTTCTAATCTCTAAGTGATTTTCATCTACACAGTGATTTATAACTATTAACTCTTGATTCTTTCTTACTAGTAGCTCCTGGATAGAACCTTTCTTCCCCCATCCCATTTTTTCCTCATCAAATCCTTGATTTAAATCCTTATTATAATTAATTTTAATCATATCGATTCTCATTTTAGGGGAACAATTCTGTCAAATTTAAGAGATATTCAGTAGAAAACTATTTCCTAGAAGGCCTCTGAGGGTTAAACTTGAACACACTTTGAAGAAGGCAAACACATATAGACCGGCAAAGATGAAAGGGAATGTAGTCCAGAGTGGCAGAACAAATAATTCTTCTTCTCCTAAAATCCATTAAACAAAGTGCGTTTTCAAATGATTATCTATCCCTGAGATTTCATCATCATTTGAAAATATATATTAACTAGAAGAATGAATGCTACTTCACTATGTTGCTAAATAGCATGTTTTATTCACTATATAACAATATATGACCACTAAATTAGTTTTCAAATGAAACTCTAAAAACAAGACTTCATACCTGGGACCATATTTGGGGAGAGAGGTTGTCTGGTTGGAAGATGGGAGATTGGTTGACGACTTTCATATTGAGACATGGAAATAGGGGGTCTCCTTAAAGCTAAAAGAAAAAATAGATCTGTATTATTCCCATTGATATTATGATTTCTAAAAAGCAACCACCGAGAATCTATTTACATTGCACTAATCTTATGATGCTTATTCCAATTTTGTAACCCTTATAGTTTGTACATTAACTAATTTATGGGTACTAATTGATAGATTTTACCATCCATCACTGATTTTGGTGATCAATAAATCTGACCAGAATATAAAACAGTAGGAACTCTGTCTTGTTCACCACTACATACATTCCCAACACCTAGAATAGTGCATGGCACATCACAGGAACTCAACAAAGATTTGATGAATGAATAAGTAAATGAATCTCTCCAGATACCTTAAGATCTTTATATACAGACAGAATAAATAAAATGGACACATTGATTAAGTGACGCATTGAGAATATGCTACTCTAAGTTGCTCAGATTTTAAATAAAAACTAAATATGGGGCCGGTCCGGTGACACAGCAGTTAAGTTCGCACATTCTGCTTCTCGGCGGCCCGGGGTTCACCGGTTTGGATCCCGGGTGTGGACATGGCACCACTTAGCAAAAGCCATGCTGTGGTAGGCATCCCACATATAAAGTAGAGGAAGATGGGCATGGATGTTAGCTCAGGGCCAGTCTTCCTCAGCAAAAAGAGGAGGATTGGCAGTAGTTAGGGCTAATCTTCCTCAAAAAAAAAAAAACTAAATATGACTGATGTGACAAGTTGAGATTTTATTTTTGAAGAGGGAAAATTGAAGTTTTGTACAAAGAGTTTTACTAACAAAGATGTACATACTTATAATTGGGACTTTCTTCTCCCTTAAGAAATGAAGGCACCAGGGAGACAGAGCACTTTTCATTCACTACTGCTGACTCCACTTGGACAGCTAAACATGATAGAAAGGCAGAGAGCAAAGAAGGAAACTAGAGAAAAGGGAAACAGGGAGAAAAAATAGAGAGCTCACCTAGGAGATATGGTTAGTGGCACAATTTATTCTTCTAAAACTTTGGTGTGGCAGAGACAATGCTATGTGATCCTATTTCATTATATTTTTTCTGGGCACAGAGGAAGATCAGCCTTCCTTACAGTTAGAGGCCATAAGACTGGGTTCTGACCATGAGGATGTAGGTCAAACTGAACATGTCACTTTCAAGCATGGCAATAAAATCTTCTGGGCAATTCACCTACAATCTCACTTCCCTTTCTGCCACAACTTAGGAGGCTACATATGAAGATGGTGGCATCAAATAATAGAGGGGGACATTGCTTGGAGGAGAGCTACAAAGAGAGCCATTCAGCCTGCATCAGACTATAATATGAACAATAAATAAACCTTTATTTTAAGCCACTGTAATTTGGAGGTTGCTTGTTAATACAACACTGCCTAGTTAATCCTAACTAGAACACCTGGATCATTTTCACAATCCTCAAAGTTTATTTCGGTGACTGTATTTCATTTATCATTACAGATTTCTAAACTTAAGGACCCAACATGTTTAAAATTCACTCTAAGAAGGCAACCTACTCAAATTTACAGAAAGTTAGGTTTTCTATATCTCTCTGTGTGCCCATTATCTTGTCCCCATTGCCAGCTACAATGCTCAACACCCATTTTCTACACATAAGAGAGCTAAATAACAACAATCAGCTGACATCTTTAAGGAGTAGTACTTGCCAGGTTTAACAGTATGATTTTGATTTGCTAACAGACTGAGGACACTAAGCATCTGGTAGATATATTTGGAAAGAGAAGTCAGTCACAATCTACAAATTTATTGATCACTGTTGGACCCTAGCTGACTCCAGTACCATACAAACCAGAAGACAATAGAGGGCACCTCCATTACTAAACGAGAAGTGATCACACATGTCCTTAGCTTTATACAATAATGCCTCCTGCTCAAGAACAAGGTGACTACTTGGAGACAAAACTGATTTAGAAAGGTAGAAAAAAGCTGAATCAAAAACAGCCTTTATAAAATGCCCAGAGGACTTTAGAACTGATATAGTAGAAGAGTAGTAATATGGAGGCCTTATAAGTTTGATGTTGATAATAAATGTTCCTTTAGAAAATTTAGAAAAATAGAAACGCACAAAGAAATTAAAAATTAGCTGTAATTCTACCACCTAAAAATAACCACTGCTACCATTTCGAGAATCTCTCTCTGATGTTCGGGGTTTCCTTTTCTGTACCTCGTAATATATACTTCAAACAAAATTAGAATCATATCATATATACCATCTTATAATCTAATTTTTTATTTAATATATATATATTTTTCTATGTCATTCCATCTTCTACAACATTTCCAAATGGTAGTGCTGGATCAAAACTTTCAATTTAAGAGGTTTGGCTAGAGAGATCTGGGTAAAGAACTGCCACAAGAACTTCGGAGCTCTATAAAATGCATTAGCTAAGCTGGTTGGTAAGTAATTTTCACTACATAGGGAAAAGTAACATGCTTTCTGTATACACTTTGCTTTCTATGCTATTACTTTGACTTTTTGTTTACTTTCGTTTTTGGTTTCCTTGAAAAGTTCCTTTCAAAAAAGCTCCAGCCTTGTTTTTGTTGAAAGTTGATTTATTTATACCTAGGAGAAGACTCTAGACCTAGAGATTTTCCCAGGGGCCAGAATTAATAGTTCCAACTAGTGGGACTGAAACAAATGAAGATCTAGAAAACTACTAGTGGACTTAGAGACAGCTAAGAGTGCTAATCTCACTCTTCAAATTTGAATAGGGTTCTTCAGACTTCTTTCCTACACACACACAAGTATCTAATCTTTCCTCCACAAAAATGAGATTATATTATACTTGCTTTCTTGTAACCTGATTTTTTCATTAAAAACAAAATAGATGTATTTGTATACAGTTCAACATCATTTTTAATGACTACATATCACATTTTATGGATATAACAAATTTAACAAACTAACCTTCCGTATAACATTGATGTGGTTTTCAATTTGTCATTATAAACATTATGATGAGCATTCTTGTACCTACATGATAGAGTAAATTCTCAGGAAAATACTAAGCATTAGGTCAATGGCAGTACGTAATTCTTAAACATATTAAAAGAAACTGAATAATAAATATGAGCTCGAAGACAATAAAAGTGTAGGAAAAAATGATACAGTGAAAAGACTGCAAACAATAATTTATGATATTAAAGCAGTTCTAACTCTTTATATATTTTACCCTGGTCCTCTCCATTGAGGACCATTGAGAGCCAGCGGAAAACATACAAGTCAACAGAGAACAGCATGGTGCTATCAGATAATATCATTAATAACTAGGCTGCTAAAATACATAACACTCATAAAATCATTATTAAGGAAAAGTATCAAAGATAAAATGACAAACCCTATTTACCATAAAGACAAAATATAGGATACAAAGCCACTAGAGTACATAGCATTTATCCTACAACTATGGTCCTAGATTTCGTAATTTCTGTAAAAGAGAGATACCAGTATGGAAATTCAATCACTCAACAATATTTATTGTCTACTATATGCTAAGTACTATTCTAAAAAGCTGGAGATTTAGCAATGAACAAAACAGATCAAGTTATTGCCCTATGAAGCTTACATTCTTGTTAGGTAGATAACAATAAACAAACAAAAAAGTATGTATAGGATTTAATACAAAAGTCAGAATGAAAAGCGCTATGTATAAAGTAAAACGGAGATACGGTAGAGAGTGGTGGGACTCTATTTTAGACAGTTTGGTCAAGGGAAGCAGTTTTGAGGAAGAGACATTTGAGCAGAGGCATGAATGAAACATGGAGGAAGAGCAGTCAGGCAGGGACCAGCAAGTACAAACAAAGGCCTTGAGACAGGAGCTCAAGCAGCAAAGAAAGGAGTGAGGGGAAAGTGTTGGAAATGAAGTCAGAGAGGACAAAAGGGGCCATGTTAGAGACACAACAGCAAAAACGTTAGGTGGTGGAGAGGGGGCTGGGGGCCGAGGGCTGAGACTATATCTGGTAATTCCAAAGGAGACAATAATTGTACTAATTATAATAACAGAAGCTCCTATTTTCTGAGTACTTAGTATGAACCAGGCACTAATCTCATGTCACCCTCAAATCTATCTGAGATAGATGTCCCCTTTCACAGATGAGAAAACTGAAACTCATGACAGTAGAGATGAGACATACCCCTCACCTGACCTAAAAATTCAAAGTAGTCACTTTTAGAGAAACTGGCTGAGAAGCTTACAAAAGGTGACAGGAGGTTTAGGGTTAATCCTCCTTCACTTCTCTATTAGCCCTCAGTTGCAACCTCTACTCTGAGAGCCAAAAAAAGAACTGTCCTTGCCTTTTACTCTCATTTTCTTATTCCAATGACAGGGCTATAATCTTAAAAATGTTCACGTTTTCAGTTTCCCGCCTTACAGGGCTTCACAACCCAACATCAATGACTACGGAGAAGGAATCTGGCACTAGTAAGCAGTGGTCCTCAACTCTGGCAGCACTTCAGTGTTACAGATACCACCCCAGACATACTGAATATGGAGATGGTACCTGGGTATCTGTATTTATTAAAAGCTCCAAAGGTGGTTCTGTTGCACAGTCAAGAGAATAAGATAGAATAAAAAGCATAGGATTTGGAGTTAGACAGACCAGGGCTCAAATCATGACTCTGTAATTTATTAACTGTATGACTTTGGTTTAGTGCCTAATTTCTCAAAGCTTCAGTTTTCATCTGAAAAACCGAGATAATGCCATTTACCCCGCATGATCAATTTGGGGACTAAGTGAGAATGTTTGCTAATGGATTATGATATAAGCCTAGCAAACAGTAGGTGTTCAGTATATACCAAAGTATTTAGAGTTTTCAAAGTATTTATCCTTAGAATGAAGAAAGAATTCAAGAGACAGGTTGAGGAAACAAAAACATTTAAATGTAAAACTACTGGCCCTAACCAATTTATTGAGTCTCCTGATCAAATAGTTTTCTCACACTTAGGAGTCCTGATGAATATTTACTCATAGTAATGTTTTG